CGCGCGTGCCCCCCCCAACAAAAACCTCTAAAAAAAAAAAAAAAAAAAAAAAAAAGAATACAACTACCTGAATCAGATGCTACAACCCAATAAAGGAATAAAAGTGTGAATAAAATAACAGCAAGCAAACCCAACACTTTTGAGCACCTAAAAAACATTCCATAGGTTATCTCTTTACTCTCACAGTTACCCTATTTGAAAGATACTCTGTCAACATTCTAGAGAGATCATTTAGGGCTAAAAGAGAAAAAAATCATTTGTTCAAGATGACACTTCTAATAAAGCATTCAACTAGAGTTTAAAATATATCCTACCTGATCCCAAAGTTTAAGTTTTTATCACTATTCCATGCTGCCTTAAGCAGAAAAAAAAACAAGAGCTCTTCTGAAACCCACAGGAAGTGAGTTATTTAAAGATTTTTAATACTTCATAGGGTGGCACAGAGAGAAAGAGAGAGAATGAAGTGAAGGTAATCTCACATAGGATCGGAGAAGGGGGTAGTTGGGACATAATACAAGTTGGCAGTTCCATTGTCAATTCTGAATAGGTCACCATCATCTAAAAATAGTAGAGAATTCAGGAGTATGTACATAGGTAAAGAGCATTTTTCAAACTGTAAGTGAAATAGGTGAGATGTGGAAATACCTGAATATGGCAAGAGGTAAACAAAGGAGAATGCTGGGCTTTGAAAGCTTCCCCTAAAACTTGAGTAAGAATTGGTGCAGACTATAAACAGAGAGGGCTATGAAAAGCAAAAGAAGCATTTGGGGGTCTGTGGCAAGAGGAAATGAAAGTAAAGGTCTTCTAACAAAAACCAGGATTAAAATCAGTAATTACTTCTCCCCTCAATCTACTATTCCAAGTCATTCAAATGATAGAAAGCCAAATATAAAACGAGGAAGAACATGTTCAGTCGATGACTCATGGATGATTCTCAGTTCACTTTGAATGAACCAGGTAAGAAAAGTAGGCTTGATAGGAAAATAAACAAGTACAGTTTAAATGTTTTCATCAACCAAACTCTCTCTTTGTAAGAAACTGAAAGAGCTTTCTTCTTTATTTCTTCATTTGATCAATGAATTGTTTTACACAAAAGACATCTACAACCAAAATATAACCATCTCCTGGGGGGGTCTATGAAGTTTATAAATCATTGTGAGATTAACTTTTAAAAGAAAATGTTTTTCCATAAGGATATTATACTGCTATAGCAGAGTAAATTAAAACTTACTCCAACATCCTATTTTTCTATGTAGTAGTAAATTGCTTTTAGTTGGTATGTAGAGAAGCAATAATTAATCACTTCTCCCTAGATACTTTTAAAAAGTAGTTATCAGAATTATACCTGGGCTAGCTTAAAGTGATTAAACCTCTTACCCATGAAGGGGGCCTATCTCAAGAGGGTCACACCATATATTCATCTTTTCTATCATATGGAAGCCATTGCCAAGATTAAAGCACTTTTCTATCTTTTGTCTTCCTCTCCTTTGCCCCAAGCAGTGTTTCTCAGTTAGCCGTGATCACCCTAACCACGAGGGCCGCTGGCATGGTATCCCCGTGTCAGTGGGGTCTGCTGGCCATTCTAAGGCAGGGAGAAGGGAAAGAAAGCAGGAAGGCGACAGCAGAGGGATGTAGAAGAACAGGAACAGAACAGGATGAGAAGGAACAGTGGGACAGAGGAGAAAAAGGGGGAAGAGAAGAAACAATGGCAGAAGTGAGAATAGAGGGAGGAAAAGCAAAAAGGAGACAAAGAAAATCAGAGGTCTGTGCTAAGGAGCATAAGGAGGAACATAGCTCCCATCAGCACCCAAGGACATACTGTGCAAAGGGTCGTTCCCTCCTCCTCTAGCTCTGTCTTCCCCGTTAGGGGAAATGGAGTAATGACTCCTCTTGGCCCATTACCTGGATGAGTTCGTCCAGCTCAGTCGAATTGACACAGGAGTGTTGGGATATGAATGTTTGCTTCTGGATCACAATGGTGGTCCTCTGTGAAATCTCATGAGGCTGCTCCAATGCTTTGAACACGGTGGCTCCGATGATCAGATAGAGCACAACCACCAGGAAAATCGTGGAGACTGTCTTCCATTTCATAACATTAATGGTCGTATCACTCTCCACCCGGGAAGCAAGCACTGTGGGTTTCGTGGAAAACGAGAGCCTCGGTTTGGAGTTCTGAGCGGCAGATTTAGGATCCAGCAAGTCAGGTGCCGCCACTGACAACAACAGAGAAGGAGGGTTAGGTTGGAGGATATGTGAGGGGAATGGGTTGGGCTTCTTCTTTGAGGAGTCAGTGAAGGGTGGCTGAACTCCCCTTGCTCTTCTGATGGAAGCTCTGGAACCTAACCAAGGAGCGCTCTCCCTAGATCTCTTGCAGGTCTGCACATAGGGGCTGGGTCTTTCCTCTCCATTACTATTGGCGGTTCAGATGGAAGGAAAAAAACAGGAGTCAGAGCAAGAAAAAAAAAAAGATGCCTTGGGATTTCCTAATTAATTTCTAAATTTGTATTTGTCCACTATGCTAGTCCACAAAGATGTATTGAACTCCTAAGAGTTGATGATACTTAACTAGGTATGTGAATATTCATGGAGAAAGTTCATGGTTTATGCCTATCCTCAAGAATTTTATGCTGCAAGCAATCAATATAAAGAATATTCTCTAATTTTGTTTTAAATTTTATTGTTATAAAGGAATCATATAAGGGAATTTATAATAAGTAATTCAAACACTGTTGCTTAAAAGAAAATCATTCATTCATAACTTTTTGGTAAAACATGGTAGTAAATAAACCACTCAATAGTCCAAAGTGGGTTGTCCTCCAAAGTGGGCTCATGATAAAATGTTCTCTAAATTTTGTCATTCAATCTCTGCCATGTTTAAAAAATAAAGGTTACTGCTAACCAATGTGGCAGGATGTTATGTACAACCAAGAAGACAAGTTCCTTCCATTTCAACAACAAACAATATCAAGAAGAAAAAAAAAAAAACGAAAACCTTGGCTCACACCTTAGACCCTATATGCTCTGTACAGAGCTAATTGTTCCATTAGAGGGAATTTATGTGTTCTCTTACAAATCCCCATATACTCTGAGGTGACATTCAATCCATTTATTATTTATCTCAGCTGTTCAAAAATATCATTAATGGATTTCTTTTTTTAGAAATACAAGAGATACTAGACTTTCACTTGCTCAGGGGAAAACAAGCTGCCTACCACAGAACATTTGACTGGAGAGGCAACATGGAACTAAAAGGGTTAACTGAAGGGCTGAAAATAAAGGACTTTTAAAAAACCACCAACTCAATCAGAATCAATTTAAAGCCCTTAACCATTAGATATTAAGTAAAGCTGCTGTCATATATGTAATATAGGTGTTATAAAGTGTTAACCTAAACACACTTTTAGGTACATATATAATAAATTCCCATGGACTTGCAGGGGAATACCCTAAAGGCACCTGAAATTACTTGAGGGTAGGAAGCCAGTAAAAGTGTCAGCTTTCACAAGGCTCCCTCCGCTGCCCTCTTGCCTAACACTATGAGCTACATGTAGGCTACCATAGTTGGAGTTCATAAAATACATCTTCAGATGCCCATCAGAAAGAAGCCTTGCCAACAAAGCTATTTGAAGCACTAGACTTAAGTAGTGTTTGAAAATGATGGCAGATGACACGGGTCCTCAACCAGCGAAGCTCAGAATGATTCTGACTTTGAAGAGATGAAATCAGAGCTGTGAGGTGGTTCCTGTACCATGGCTCCAAAGTGGTGATTCCGCGAATGTACAGCTCATTAGGACAAGTTCAATTTCCTGCCTTCAGCCCTAAGCCATACATAGCAAGGTATACGCACCTTTCTCTCCTCTGACAGTCACCTGTTCTAAATAAAGCCCCAAAGTAGACATCTTTAGAATATTTACAAAGGCACATTCACTAGAAATCAGCTCTGGGCATGTGTTTCATCTTTTTTAAAGAACTTTTTAATAGAAGTGCTGATAATAGCAAAAATTCACTGTCATCTGGAGACTCGCCACCTCCCCCCTCCCCCAGCTGCTTAGTCAGTCTCAATGAAAAATTAAAGTCATAATCTCAAATCTAGCCATCTTTGAAATAAAAATAACAGAAAATCATACAGAAGTTCCATCTCTCTAAAGGGTGCTTTCCAAACCTTTCTTCACTAGTGGGTTCTAGTCTGTAGGAAAACCATCCAAGAACGTTTACCTTGATGCTACCAAACCCCAAGGCAAAATCCCACTAAGACACTGTCGCTACATGCTTTTGGAAGACGGAGACAGATTTTTTTTTTAAAGATTATGTATGTGTTAATACATTTCCTGAAGGAGTTTAATTCTTTTAAGCTGTTGCCTTATTTTTTAACCACCAGAAATATATATAACACACATTTGGCAGATAGAATGGGCAGAAACCAGTGAAGTATTACAATTAAAAGCACCAGATATATATACAACACACATTTGGCAGATAGAATGGGCAGAAACCAGTGAAGTATTACAATTAAAAGCACACAGCAGCCTCTTCTCTTGTTCTAATATGGGGAACCTCTGGGTTTCCACCTCCATGCAGCCCTTTGATGTCTGAGCAGGGACAGAAACTGCCCTCTCCACACACACTCAGCACCATCGCATGCCCGCCCCTACCGCCAAACACAGTCTCCTCTCCATCCTGGCCTCAGGTCCTCACCCAGATATGTCTTCACCCCGGCCACGACTGATCACCGAAGAACGGAAGAAATGAGCTTTTTTCAGCACCACTGCCTGTCCCACGGCGCAATGGGCAACAAGTGTGACCGGGGTCACCCTGCGTCCTGCCTGTCGGCTACTCTACTCCCAGGAGCTGACCGTCTCCTCCATTGGAAACTCTCCCCAAGGTGTTCCAAAAGCGTACGGGAGGCAGATGCAAAAACCCTGACACCGGCGGGAGTGACGGAGAGGCAGCCAGGAGGGGATCCAGGATGGGTTTTCCTCCAAACCCAGATTATGACCCAACACCCTGGACGCAAAATGCAGATGAGAAGTGTCCACAGGCTGCGAGCGGGGCATTTGCAGCCTTCCCAGGACAGGCAGGGCCAGGAGAGCGCGCGGCCAGGGACTGGGGGGAGGTGGTGCCCGGGGGTCTCACCTCCTGCTCTATAGCCGGGTCTCTCCCGCGAGGCGCTGGGAAGCATGAGGCATGCAGCATTCAAAATGTTTTTGGGAAAAGACGGACTTGAAGCTTTTTCAAAATCACCCTTTTGTTTTGGGAGGCAGGGGGAAGGATGAGGAGCAGATGAAACTAGATCGGGTAATGATGGGAGCTGAGTAATGGGAACATGGGGCTTATATTTAAACCAACCTCCCCTTCTGTATTTACATTTATCCATACTGCGAAGTTAGCAGGGCCAATTTGTGGTCTGGTGGTTAGGGCTGCAGGATCCCACGTGGCCAACCACACAGTTTGAGTCCTGGACCCGGTGGCTTGTAAAACACACAGGGACATGTGCATGTGTGCCCAAAATCCCAAAAGAAGGAGAAATGGAGAAGAGATTGCAGTGTGACCGTCCCCCATGAGGGTCTGTCGTGCTTCTTCTCTCTCCAGCGAGAGCACCCTCTAACAAAAAAAAAAAAAAAAGGCAGTA